CAAGTGTTCCAATTATAGAAAGCCTGATGTTATCCAACATTGTGATCCACAACCCGATCAACTATCATGTGCCCAAATTAAAAGACCGATTATAAACCCGAAAATGCTAACACATGATATCTAGGCCCAAATCGAGGCGGGCCATTTTGCAGAAATCTGGGGAGCTGGGGGCCGGAAGCAAAGAAAATTATTATTATTGATATTTTGGTTCAAATTACAATCGCTTAAACGCCCGCAATGGTGTTATTATGCGTAATTTTTTTTAAGTTAGATTATTTTCAAATCACTTTAAATTTGAAACTAATCTCTATCTGGGAGCATTAAAATTAAACTTCTTCCGGCAAGCGCGTAATTTTATTCGCTCACTTATATTATCAACTTTCACCGTATATGTCAGTAGAAATTCATGTTATTAAAAATTAAATTGAAAATCTCCCTACATATATCACAGATCACAATGAGTCTTTTGAGGGAAAAAATCCAAAGATGTGGATGAAAATAAAGAATAAGAATGAAAAGGGACGAATAAAAAAAAAAGGGTATGAATAAAAAAAGATGAAGAGGCCAGGTAAGGCAGGGGGCACAAAAATGGGAAGCAATAAAGTTGATTATAAACTTATACTGCCTCAGAATCATCATAGTGTTGCTGATGGTAATGTTGGTGACATGTTGATATAAAAAAGGAATGCCTTTAATATCATAATAACCTTCCTGTACTGTCCACCACTTTGTTCTCCAATTTCATTATTATCAATCACACTCTTTCATCCAATCCATTTCTCTCTATATCTATTATGTATGTTATGGACCACATCATGCCCTGCCCTCTCTCATTCATTATGATTCCACCCACATACACCACACTATCTTCTTCCTTCCCACTTTCTGGTTCTTGTTCTTGTTCCTGTTTCTCTCATCTTTGACGCTGACCTTCACTTCTCTCTCTAGCCAGACACTTTGATTTTGGCCCCAGACATCAGTCCCTACCAAAATCACTCCCTTGAAAACCCTTGGTTATGAAATATATATATATATATATATATATATATCATATCCCCTGTGCTTCTTGAGGTCCTATTCTGCCCCATTTAATGCCCATGCTAGCTAGCCCCCTTCAATGCTTGGGCCCATCCAACCCCATTAATATTTCATTCATTCATGTTGCATTCATTTCAAACAACCTGAAAACTAAATCCTCTCCATCTTCCTATCCCTGGTAATCTTTCGGAGGCAGGCTTCTTTTTACGCTTTTGAGATACCAGTTTGATTTGTTGTTATCTGTGAAAGTAATATTTGCTAGTAGAGAGGGGGGATTTGAGCCACAAGATACAGGTACATGGAATAGGTACGAGGGGTGAACACAACGCAACAGAAACAGAAGAGTGAGTCGTATGATGCTGCTTTAAGGTAACAGTGAAGTAATGATGTGAAAGATATGTGTGTCGAAGCATGTTTGGGTTGTAATGGGCTGTCTGGTTGTGAGATTTTGTTGGGTTGTGCGTTGGAGTTGTTGAAATATGTATATATGATATTAGCAGTCGGTAGAGGGTTGATTCTTAATCTTATAATATAATGGGAATATGTATGAAAGCAGCTCACCATTAAAAAAAGCTACAAGTGGAACTTGTCACCAAATGCTCTTTGTGGGCCCCCGACTTTGACCCGTTTTTTCTATCAGACATACATATTTGGAGCGTTATAGGCACTAAACGTGGATACCTTAGACTTTTGTTTATCCCGGTACGAAGAACGAACTCTTTCCACTTCCACCAAACTCAAATCCTCTTGGTTGAAATCTTCGTTCTCAAATCTCCTTCAACTTGGACCCTCACGCTCAAATAACTTGAGCTGTTTTATTTTTGTTAGACATAAGTATCTTCTTATTAAAAATAATTTTATTTAAAATACTGTCAGACACTAAATATAGATACTTCAAATTTTAGTTTATCATGTTGTAAAGAATGAACCCATTCCGTTGTTGCTGGATTCGAGTCCTCTTGGTCTTGGTTGACCCATTCAACCCTTCATTCCCAAACAGTAACTCCATGTTGTTTTTCTCTTTCAATGGAACATATATAGTTTTTATTTGTTCTGCCCGAACATGACGTGTTATGATGTTTCCATTTGTTGTTGAGATCCTGTGTGATAGAGTAAAAAACTAAAAATTGCAATCTGCCTTCAGCTATTAAATTTTGTTTTGTAAAATCATCCAGATATCATCACTAGTAAAATCAGAGTTTTTTCGTTTGGCCAGCATTAAGTATAAAATCAAATTCGCCTCCTTAATTATAAAAAAAATTAAATAAATAAAAGCTCTCCGACTAATATTTTTTTGATTACTTTTTGGTTGTAGTGTTGTGGTTGGAATTTTGTTCATCTTTTTTTCTTCTATTTTGATCAACGGAATTTTCTCCATCATAATTTCAAATAAAACACATATAGTCAAGTTTCCAAACCCAAAAAAAAAAGAACAAAAATCAAAACGCGATGTTTTTTGGTGGAGCTCGAATGTAATATTCCACCTAATAGCACAAGCTAATGAAGTAAGGCAAATACAATCCGACAATTTAAACACCAATAATATTATATAATAGCACCAAAGCAATATAATTAAACAGGTTTTGTTCCTTTCTTTAACCAAAATAAAACATGTTCCTTAAAATACTCATGGTTGAGCGGTGGAAATGAATTAGGATATACTTAAACTCAGGAAATTTTAAAATGCATTTAACTCGGTAAAGTGGAAATAAAACAGAACAAGACACTCAAATTATAAGTTCTATATATATATATATATATATGTTAGAACTCACTAATGTGATTCCTTTTCTCTCTTTTTTTTTTTTCAAAAATAGTGAGATTAAAAAGGGAAGAATGATGAAAAGAAATAGGAGAGGAAACGTAAAAAGATGGAGGCTCATGGGTCCGTACATAGCTCACATGATTTCCACAAACACCTGCGTCTGAATGAATAAGCGGGCCACATTCTACGTGGGACACACTTAACTACATCGAAAACTTCATTTCACATTTTTGTAGGTTATAAATATAAGATTTAATTTATAATATAATTTATATTACAAATCATGTAATATATTTAAGACTCAAGATAGTATATATCTATTTTCTCAAAATAAGTCCCTATTTATCTGTCATTTATTTTCTTCTACATCAACATTTATTTATGAACTTTGGTACAACCCGCTTTAATTTAAAGGTTGATATATTTTTTCGAATTATTATTTTAACTTCAAAAGAGCAGTCCATCTTGAAGCCAAGAACCAACATTCAAAATGGTTCAGTTTATGTCAATGTCATTTCGGCTTAAATGGGTTAACTAAATACTACCTCCGGTCCATTTAATTGAATTAGTGGGTCCACTTTTCTTGCCTCTTCTAAATGGATACAAACAAATCATATCAAACTCAAACCAAAACACATGCCTTTTTCAATCTGATCTGTGATTATCTTATCACCTACTTAATTTACTCTTTTTTTTTTTTAACTCTTCTTTTAACTAACCTATACTTAGATATGGCTCTTGAACTCCTACTCACCCCGTAAGCCTAGGAAAATAACTACTTTTAAAGCCTCGATAAGGTGATAACTAATGATAATGAACTATAATCTTCTCATATAATAAGAAGTTATTGGTCACATCATAACTACTCTTTCTCTTATGAATTGTCTTATTTTATTGGAACCGTCAATACAATTGCGAATTGATTTTTCTACATTCATACATCTGTTCATTGACCTAAAAATAAATGTGATTGGGCACAATTTCCACTTTTTTTTTATAGCGTTACCTAAATGCTCACTTTTATGTTTATTTGTGAGTATAAAAAAAATGCATGTTAACTCAATTTAGATTCCCGCTAATGAGCACAATTTTGGATGATCTACATTAGAGTTTAATTCTTCAGTTTTGATATATTATTTATTATGAAAAATTAATCTATAAATAATTAATTTAACTAATTTATTTAATCTACTTAGTGAATTAGAAAGAAGGAGTGAAAATAGGGAGTGAAATATGTGCAAGCATAGGCGTATGAAAAAGAGGAAAAGGACAAAACGGAGGGATTAATTGGGGTTTGGTAGCAGACAAATACGTAGGCCTTAGTCAAAGCACTTCACAGAACCTCATAAAAAGTGTGAATCCCCGTTGCCACTACCCCTTCCAATGTCACTCCCTCCCCACATTCCCACATGATCCTGCCTTCCTCTTCTTCACATTTCGCCATCCCCCCTTTTTCACACCCCCCCCCCCCCAAAAAAAAATCCCTTATCTTTTTCGCTCCTTCCCCAACTCATTCTACTTTTAGAGCCCCCAAAGTCTCAAACTTTTTAATTTTGATAGCTACCCACACGTCCACTCCTCCTTAATGTCTTCCTTCACAATCATTCACCCACATGTTGTTCAAAAAGATGTTCAATACGGCTGAATTAAATGTAAAAACATTGAAGATTATTGAAAGGCTCTCTTTTCTTGGGGTTAGTGTCTTTGCTTGCTAGGCAGTCCCAATCATGCACCATACACATGTCAGCTTTGAATATCCTCATCCTGCAGCCCCTAACATGTGTTCTTATTGAGATGAAAAACTCATATCAGTCAGTGTGTGTTCGTGTGGAGGCCAGGGACTGACCTGAGGGCCCCTGAATTATGCATGAAAAGCCCAAGTACAGAGTGTGCTGCAATTATTCATACCATAAATTCCATCCCAATCTACTCCTCCCCTTTGCTTACTTCTTACTAATATTCATTCATTCTATAATATTCCCAATCCTTTCCTAAAAGCTCTTCATTAAATATACCTCCAACCCAATAAAGCTTCCCCGTTAAAATCATGCCCCTTCATTACCCAAAATGCTTCTGCTTCTTCGTTCTTCTCCTCCTCCTTCTTCTTATCCAATATCTCTCCCTATGACCCAGTTCCATCTGTCTCCTCTCTTGCTCTGTTAGGGGGGAAAAATTTTTTTTTTAACACCATACAGAGGAAGCAGGGGAAGAAGTTGCAGGCATGAAGAACACCATAAGGTGTTGCATCTCTTGCATTCTTCCCTGCGGAGCACTGGATGTGATCCGCATAGTTCACTCCAATGGCCGCGTCGAGGAAATCAGCGGCTCCGTCAAGGCCAGCGACGTCATGAAGTTGTACCCCAAGCACGTCCTCAAGAAACCCTGCTCTCCGTCGTCTGCCGATGACGGTGTCGTTCCCAAGATCGTGATCGTCCCTCCCGATGCCGAGCTCCAACGAGGCAAGATTTACTTCCTGACGCCGGAGGAGAAGAGTCGGCCCACATCGTCGGCGCCGAAGAATAAGAAGAAGAAGGAGCGGAGTGAGAGAACGTTGACAAACAGAGATAGTAATAGCGGCAACGCCGCCGTGGCCATGGCTAATCTGCAGATTCTATCCTCCGATCGGTACTTGACGGATATACTATCCGAGAAGCTCTCGACGCAGAGAGATAGAAGAAGAGGGCGCGTCGCCGTGTGGAGACCTCACCTGGAGAGCATTTCGGAGTCTCCAAGTGATCTGTAAGGGGGTGGTTCTTGATTGTTTCCGAAATCTTATGATTTCAACGAAGCCCGCTTCATCCTTTTTATCCATATATTACAGGGTTTATTTTAAGAGATATTTGCAATCCATTTTTTGAACTTCCAAAGAAAAAATGAATTTCTTTTTTAGTTTTTCCTTTGTGTCTTCTTCCTCTTCCGCCAGTGCTTCTTCTCTGTACATAGGCTTATAGATAGAGGAACGCAGTTAAAAAGAAAAATTGTAATAATGCTTATCTTATGGATTTTGAAACTGGGTTGCTCTAGTGCTAGAGGCGGATAATTCTGCAATCAGATTAGGGCCATAAATGGGTCAGTTTCCATTGTGGAAATAGTTTTGAGCTTTTACGATCTTTTGGGTGGTCATTGTTCGCTCAGTGGGGCATATATTATAGATCAAATCATGATGGGTGCTATAAAATTGTAACTGTGATAAAGATATAAATCCAGGACTTTCTATATATTGCGCGCTTTTAATTTACTTACCGTTCGTGAAGAAATTTTGATCTATTACTGCATGCATGGATATAAAAGATCCCACTTCTGCAGTTCTGCTGTGTCAGTAATTATCTGTTCATTAGTGATTCTGCATTCAAATCAATCATAATGAGAGATGATTGCCACATGATTAGACCTGGGAAAGCGGGCTGGCGGTGCGGATATGGGCCAGCCCGCCGCGGTGCGGGCCAAATGCGGTGCGGGCTGGCAAAGCCCGCCTAAATTTTTTTTTTTTAAATTTATTATATTAGTATGAGTTAAACCTAATTTGAAATGTTGAAATTAGGCTCCGAGTTTTAAACTTGAGTAATGGATCCTAATAAAAAAAAAGAGAATTAATTTATAATATTAGAAGAAATTTAAGAAAAACTAACATATATATTTTTTTATAAATAATTAATTTAACTAGTTTTCTTATCCAAATTAATTAAGTAAATCTTTTATGTGTGTGTATGTATGACTATATGAAAATCACATATTTATCTAATCTTATGAAGCCGTGCATACTAACGACAAATAGATATAAAAATAAAAGATGGATAGTGCTCTTCATATAACCATACATATATATGAAGTGCTTAATTAATTATATATATAATGATATGGATGAGGTAATGTCCATATGAAATTTAATGGTCAAAATCATCTAACTATATTATATAATGTATTAAAAATCAGAAAAAGTAAAAAAAAAAAAAAAAAAGCGGGCTGACGGGCTGGCCCGCGGCGGAGCGGGCCAAAAGCGGTGCGGGCTAGGGCTAGGAAAACATCAACCCAAGCCCGCCTTTTTTGGCGGGCTGGGCCCGCGAGCCCAGCCCGTATTACCGGCTCTACACATGATCATTTTGTTAATGGAAGCTCGCGTTATATTGGAGCAACCTACGAACTTTTGTTCTGAGATAAATTCTAAGTCATTAGTTTAAGAATATTATTATGTAAAGAACAAAATTTAAAGAAAACCCAGAATGTCAGAAAGAGTCTCTCTCTCTCTCTCTCACACATTGACATCGTCATGGAGCGTTGTTTAATTTGTCGGTGCCGTTCATACTTTAACGCTAAAAGCTCACCTAATGCTTCCATCACTTTCCCTTACAAAGAGGAGTTCCATTTCTTATCGTAGTATATTGCATTAAATTTAAGAAGACTTCTTCTCTGCATTCTTATATCGTAGCGTATTGCATTAAGCTATGGCGGACTTCCCTACCCACTGGAGAAAAATCCTCATCCAGTTTTTCACAAGAATAGGGACTGGGATACGTACCTAATATGAAATGTATGCACATTAGAGTCTAAAAATTTTGATAGAAGGGGGAAATATAATAAGTTGGAGCTATGATAAGCAAAAGCTCGTGCTGATGTCTTGTGGATCTGATATTTCTGATTTGTGATTCAACTTTTTTCGGTCGAAAGCTCCCGGCACCAGCTGTGGTGGTCAACAAAAAGTTGACAGGCAAGTTCGTGCATGAAGGAATCATTAAAATTAATGTGATCTAATCTGTAAACCAGTTCATCTAATGGCATGTCAGGTCCCAATACAAGTGAAGTGGGTCAGGAACCAACATCTTTCTGGACACTTTGCAGAAACATCATGCAACTTTTTTCATGTCTCATAATGGCATAATGCATTACTGTTCTTTGTGCGATCTTTGAGAGTACGGTTATTGTGCTTCTGAGCAAGTATGTAGAGCCACTTTTCAAGTGGAAGATACAAGATTTGCAGAGTCTAAGAAATATTAGCGAGTGTGACGAAGGGGTTGATGAGCCGCTCTTGATGGCAGAATTGGCTCAGTTCCAAAACTTGCAGGGTTTTCAATTTTCCTTTACGAGACAAACCCAAATTGGAATCATCATTGCTATAAACTAAATAAAGAAGCCAACTTTCTTTGAGTAAGAAAGAAAGGCTTTGATTTGACAGTGGACTTAAGGTGGCTGTTGCGGGATATAAGAGAGTTTCATAAAATAGACAAACGTTATAATGATCTAAATTCTAGTTCTTAACCAAGTGGAAGAAGAAGCAGTTTCAAACCGTACCTACACAAGTCCCACAGAGAAGAATGGTGGGGACCTGAGGGTTAGATTTGGTTGGATTTGAGTTTTGACTTTAGAAAACTGGGGAAGCGGCTTGGGGACCATGGAGAAGCTATCTGTTAATGTTGACGACAGAGACGAGAGGTTCTTATAGCCTTGTTTGTCCGGTTCAGAATAAAGCTAGCGAGTTATAAACCTGCCTTCCAACAGAAGAAGAGGAAGAGGTTTTGAGAAGACCAAAAATATGTTGTTCTTTCTGGAAATTAATAGTAATAACTTTTAAATAATCTAATCTAAATACTACCTTCGATTCTGTATATACAATATAATTTATTTATAGTGCAGTTTACTACCTTTGGTCCTTAATATAAGATCTTATTTATTTTTATTTTGATCTTAAATATAAGACCCTAATCTATTTTGTCTCTAATATTTATGCATTTCTTCCTAATGTATCCCTTCTAACAATAGTAGTTTTAACCAATACACTTGATTAATAATGATATTTTGGGAAAGATAACACCTATTTATTACAAATAACTAACTTAACTTTTTTTCTTAGTCTCCTCAAATTAGTCAACTATCTCTTATAATTAGAATTAGAAGTAGTATTTTACAAACTGGATTTTATGTATGATTAGGTTGGCATTCAGCCACTCAAAATCATGTTGCAAAGGTGATTTCTCAAATATTAAACATGACCGAGTGATTTGAGGTGATATGGGTTTTTAAAGTGTTTATTCGGCTTAATTCTTTTCGTTTGCTTTTCTTCATTCATAATATTATGAATGACAAGCCACACCGGTAAACAAAATATTATTATTTATTCATTTTCTTTTCAAATTTTAATTAATAAATTGCAAATCACATTAAACTCCCGTCTGATGGGTCCAGTAAAAGTCATTATTTTTCATAAACAGCGTTATTTTGAACATCTCCAAACTATTTTGGCTAGGTTTGGGAAAAAAAACAGTGGGAAAAATTTACTTTATAAAATATTGTAATAATAATATCCAGCTATAAATTATTCAGGTCAAATTTTAAAATTAATTAATTAATTTATATATTATTTAATATTCATGGTTTTTCTCTTTATAAACACTTAACAAGGATGTTGCTAACTCGTTAATAATTTGAAGGTGTCCCTGCCATTACTGTTACTATAAGTGCTGGGTTAAATTATCAAAGCGCACTCAAATAATGTGGATGAAGCATCTGATAGGGGTATTTGAAAAAAAATCAAACTATGATTTTAAAAATCATTTTATAATAAAATAAGGATATGAGAAAAAAATTATTTCAATTTATGTGAAAGTACTCCTCTAGTTTTATTTATAGACTGAGAGAAGAAAATTTTTTATTCTATTTATAAGAAGAGAGAAAAAAATTTCATATGAATGTATAATTTTATTCTTAATTTATTATTGTGTTGATTTTATTTTTATAAAATATATTGTATATTAAATAGAGATGAAATTAGAAAATTATTTAATTTTAAAAGAGAGTTAATAAAATTTAAAATTTTTATCAGTATGTATGAAATATGTTAAAAATAATTTATAGATTAGATAAAAAAAATATTTTACAAGTTTTTTTTTTCCTGGTTACAAATACTTGTCTACATGCGATTCTGAGTGAGTGATGAGGATAACAAAGCCTTGGAAGAAAACTTCGCGAAACAATCATAGTAAAATGCTGGATTCCCCGGGAAAAGGAATCCTTAAAATCAAAACTTCAAAAGTCCAAAGTCAAAAGTCAAAACCAATGTTCCATATATACTGCTATATCTCTTTTTTTTCTTAATTTACAGTAGTATTTTGGCTGGCATATGATCATACTATGATATAGGGATATGTTGGTTCTCCAAAGCAAAACAAATGTGATATTGTGATTGTGAAAAACATGGAGCGGCCAAGCCGAGCCGATCCCATGACGCCAGCCACTTTCCACGGCCCGTCTCAGACTCAGTGGGTTCCCTTCAACGTCACGCGCCCTTCCCCGGCGACTCAACGCCTCTACCGTACCGCATTACCCTACTCTCTTTCTCCTTCTCTCATGCGTCCGCCACTCTCCTCCCTCTTTCTCTCTCATCGTTCCCACTTTAACCCCTTTCACCTTCTCTCCGGCTAGTCGCCGTTCTTTCTCCGATGGGGGATATGCGCGAGTCTCTCACGCCGCCTGTGAACCATTCGCGCCCGATGCCCGTCCGCGAAGATTGTTGGACCGAGGAAGCTACCTCCACCCTCGTCGACGCTTGGGGCCGCCGTTATATACAGCTTAACCGCGGCAATCTCCGTCAGAAGGACTGGCAGGACGTGGCGGACGCTGTCAACGCTCTACATGGTCATACCAAGAAGACGCATCGGACGGATGTTCAGTGCAAGAACCGCATCGACACCATTAAGAAGAAGTATAAGATTGAGAAGAATAGGGTTTCCTCCCCAGGCGGGGCTCCTTCTACTTGGCCCTTCTTCGATCGCTTAGACGTTTTGATTGGGCCTGCTTTGAGTGCAAAAAAGGCGTCGCCGTCGCCTCCGGTGCCGCTTTCTTTGCCGTATCATAAAACCCCGTCCCCCGTACCTGCGGTGCCGGTGACGACCTTAGCGCTACCGCAGAAGCGGTCGGCGGCGGCACTATTGGAGGATGGATTCTTCATGAGGAATTATTCAGCTATGGCAGCCGCGGCAGCTGCAGCAGAGGCCGATGAGGATGAGGATGACGACGAGGGCGAGGAAGATGAAGTTGAAGAGAGGGGAAGCGAGGTTGAGGAAGAAGAGAGGGAGAAGGAAGGGGTGAGGAGCTTGGCAAAAGCAATCGAGAGGTTCGGGGAAGTTTATGAGAGAATGGAGAGAGAGAAATTGAGGCAGATGGTGGATTTGGAGAAACAGAGGATGCAGTTTACTAAAGATCTGGAAGTACAAAGGATGCATATGTTCATGGACACGCAAGTTCAGTTGGGGAGGATCAAGCGCGGGAAGCGACCTGGATCTAATGGTAAGTTAAAACTTTCTCGTTGTCTTCTCAAGTTCTGGGTTGATGGCATAGCATAAAGCCATAAACTTTAGTTATTTTGTTTCGACGGTATGGAGTAAGTAGCTTATATCGTGGTTATAGGCTATTGGGTCGCAAGGGTATTTCCGGTTTGATTGTTGGTTGGTGGGAGAAATAGGTTTTTGGTGTAGATTTTGTGTGTAGAAAAAGCAATCATTTTATGTAATAGTTATTTCGCTTTACAATTAAATAAGCTAGTCGTGCTTGTGCGCTTTCTTACATTGTCATAGAAAGTTCTTCCTAATTTATTAAATTTGTCCTTGAATTGAATATATCTTAAAAAGACAGCTTCCTTGTTCAGGCTTACGTGTTTCTTCACATGGTCTATAGTGGTGTGGCATTACCCTGTTCTAAATTCATTGTCTGTGAAGTTTATAAGTAAATTATTGCAGTTTTTCTCTTAGGGGGAAAACCTAGCAGTTTGTTTTCTGAGGAACCACTTCATCTCCTCTGTTCTGAGAGTAATTCGCTTGCAAGTGAATGTTATCATCAGCCAGGTTGAGGCTGCAGGCACCAAAACCTCATCACTCTGATGCAACAGGGGAGGGTAGCCAATGGCCATGTCACAGAATTGAGGCAACCAATCTAAATAAGTCAGAACAAATAAGAAAACTAATTTATGTATCTAAAATTTATAAAGGGAAAACTATAATGCAAATTAAGTCCCGAGAAATATCAATATTATAAAGTAACACGCAGTCATATGAAAAGAATATAACCCCAGGTGTGCACACAACCAAATACAAACTAAGACATGAAAGACTAAGACCTTTTAGCATTGCCATGAACACTGATGCGGACATGGACGTGAACAGTGCTTCATCTTCGACGTGTTTGCACATCATTGAATAATACACATTTTCTTTTTGGCCTGAGAGTAGTACATGTTGCTAGCAACTTGCAAGAAGTACATAGCAGCTTCCTTAGATCTTAAACAGTGTACAGCTTTGCTGGCAGAACCAAGGAATAGGATTGACAAAAGGCTGTTTTTCTTACCATTGTGTGCTTCAAACTTCCATACTTGATTCCAGTTGCCCTTTGTTTTAGATGCCTCTTGGTTCTTGAGTGATTAAAGTGAAGACAAAGGTGTGTACTGGCAGTATGCTCAGTTGATGATGTAACTGTTGGGTTTTTATGACGGTAAATTAATTAGCTTTTGCTTTGTGATGTTAATATGGTTGGATTATTATACTTAGGCCTGAATGATGTTATATTTCCTTTTATTGCAAATTTTTTGGGTGCTAATCTCCTTATTTCTTCTGCCTGTGTTTGACGTTAAGCAGTTGGTAATTGTATTTGAAATTAGGTTCTTTCCCGTAAACTAAGTCTGAAGTTTGAGTCTTATGAATGAAAAACGAAGGGCTTAACCCCTGTTGGGTCCCGACTCGGCCTGAATTCAACCAGATAATATCACCAAAGAGGTGGGGCTTATCATGTCATCTTGATAAATTTTTATTATGGATGACCTCCTGAGATATTGTGAATTCTTGATTCTGTTGAGTAGAACTCTTGCATAGATTCTGCACACTGTCGCCCAATGATGGATATGATGTAGCGTTTTCAAGTCTTTCGTTTACAGGCTAAAGTTAGGGAAGTACGATACTTTAGTTACATTAAGAGGGTTTGAACTCTAAACAAGAAAATTACTATACTGTAAAGACAAGCATAGGTTTTTACACGCACAGAATCTCTCCAACGTAATAATACTATTTTACGTGTGCAGAGGTACAAATAAAAGAGGTTAGTTTTTTTCTTAGGTCTCGAATAAATAAGAAGAGAGTGTTACAGACTTGCAAAGGAATGAATGCCTTGTTGCGTCATGAGCTGAACAAAATGGTGACAACAAGTTACATCTGTTAATGTTTATTATTGTTTTCATATGAGACTTGCCATGGAGCATTTACATGCATCTAAGGAGAATTTTCATTCTGCAAAATGAAATACCCATTTATTTAGGAGAACCAGGTATAGATTCTCCCTATTGGTAACTTTAATTCCATTCATGGTTAGCCAGTATAAATATGTTTGGCACCCGGGAGTATCCTTATTTGATTACTCTTCTCCTCGTAGTTTTACAATAATTGCTCTGGACAAGTATGCTTACATCAGGCATCTTAGATTTTCGGCTGCCATTGCATGTTTATCCTATTATCCAGCTACTCAAGGCGGTGTTTTTTCTGAAGTATATTTGGTCGGTTTTCATCACTTAAAAATGCTATTACTCATCTGTTATCCTAGCTGATCTTTAAAATGAGCGTTTCTGGTGACTAAAGTATCAAGTGGGAGATTGACTGCCGTCTAAACATTTCTCTTAACTCGAACTTGAACCTGTAAGAAGAAGCTGGGAACTAAAAACACGGAAGAAGGAATAATTGCACTAGAGGGAGGAAGTCGCTTGGCAGAGCAGAGATGCACCTGCCAGGCCGGTGGAGCTTATTTGGAAGCTACTTGGGATGACTCAAAGTGAGTCATGTATAAAAAGAGGATTAATTTATTAAATGAAGAAAAAAATTAAAGACTGAGTTTTAACCAAGTTAAAGATTCAGAGATTGAGTCATACTGAGTCATAGTAGAGGGATCAAGTTATAGTTGTGTTAAAACTTGAAACCTCAAAATATTAAATTTCCTTTAAATTTTTTGTTTTTCAACAGATTGTAATTGATTGAATTTGTTCATTACTGCAGATATGTATAGCTAGCCAAGTGCGCAAAGCTTGGACAGTGATTGCTGATTGGAAGGCTTTTTGAGAATTGAGATCCTGTTTCTTAAAGTATAACCTTCTGGTAAGGTATATCTTAAGCTGCTGATAGGTATGCCATCATCAGGGATTACCAATTAACGACTATCATTCATTTAGCTGGATTTTCGTCTGTACGTTGGAGGCCGTAGTGAATTAATTCAGTAACCGTGCTCGATCCAAGTCGAGCTCACATATACAATGTCTAATTTAGGTCAGTACTGTTTCTAACCAGTTTTTCACCCCTCCAGTATGCTGAGATAATTCATAGCGGACTGGCATTTCTTCAAGAAGCTGAAGGAAAATATGTAGTGTTATTTTCTTTTTCTTTTCTTGCCCTTAAACATGTAGTGTTATCTTCAAATTTAATTATTTTAGTAAACTGGAAGTGTATTTACCATGGTAAAATATTGCTGAGAGGAATGAGTGTCGCTTTAAAAAAAAGAAAAGAAAATAAAAGAAACAAAAGTTTTGGAACTGAACCATAGCGTGCGACTTGTAGATAGTTTGACTTTATACGCGCACACAGATGAATGTTATAGCATTATATATTCTATATTTACGATGATATAATATTAAGATTATAAAATTAAAGGAATTCAGGTGTCTAAAATTCTTAAACAAAATCTAGTAAACATCATCGCCTATTAGAAACCTGGCTTATCATTTAAAATTGGTTGAGACGGTGCAAGGGCCTATGTGGGTGACGATCAAACCTCCAAGAGGGAATATAGCAAATAAATAAATCAATCAAAAGAGACAAGGCAAGTGATGCAGCAATCAGATTTCCAAAGTTGCACCATGGAAGATGATTATCCAGAATGATTGGGGCAAATTTTAATGCAGCAATATGGATATGGATGGACGTGTTGTAATAATGATATTGATTAATATGTTAAATATTAATGCCTCATAAGACAAGCCGATTGAGGAAATAATTTTAGGGTGAAAATTTTTAAGAACACGGAGATATTCTTGGCCAAAAAAAGAATATGAAGATATTTATTCTAGACGATGAATATATTGCGTCGTTCTTACATCCTGCTTTCATACATTGTCATGTTTTGATTATTGCATGCTAAACACAGTTTAGGGTTTGTTTGAAGTTGTTTAATATGAGCACTTATAAGTACATTCACAATTTTGACCAAAAAAAAAAAAGTACGTTCACAATTGGGGCAAGCCTTGTCTCATAAATTTATTTTGCATTTCGTAAATCACGATTGAAAAACTGTTTTGATACCTAATTAATTTGAATGTCTCCAATGAAAACAAGACAAGTTCTATAAGAGAATGAACACGATTATCATAGTGAGATAATTTATCACTGATACTGATGGGATACTTGCTGGTCAAACTCACTTGTATGACTCAGTCTGTATATCTCGTTAAGAATGTCACACATTATCTTTTTTTTTTAAAAAAAATGAATTTTAATTATTGGTACGAAATGGCTGCGTTTTTTTATTTCTTCTTTTCTGATATTCTAAAGCTAAGCAATCAAAATTTATTTGAAGTTTAACTTGTGTTATGAAAAATTTATATTTATTTGTATCTCAAAAGTAAGTTATAAAATTTACTAATAATTTTTTGTTATATTGATATAATATTTTAAAGATATAACGTATGTGACATATTAATAACTAATTCTACATAGGAACTGAAAATTTCCCTTGTAATTTATTAATAATAGGGGTGTCGGGGAACTCCCAATGCCACTATCATGTATACTCATCCTATCCTTAATTATTCAGCTAATGTTTTCTAAATGTAAGGCCTAGTTATCATATTTATTAATTTTTTTAAATTAACTCTATTGATACTCTTTCAACCATAATCAAGTAGGAGAGAAGGGGGATATTAAAGAAGATAATTATGGTATTTTAAGAAAAACATATCATATTTTTATAATAATTAACTAATTTACTTATTTTTTTAATTTAATCAAATTAATTAAATAGATCTTATATTAAGTATCGGGAGATACTCACCAATATTTCGATCTATATTTATACAACCGTTATATTTTCGGGAGATACCATGGATATTTTTTATTGGCAGCTGCAGAGACTAATTTGTCTCAAATACTGAGAGCAAAAGTTAGATTTCTCCCAACCGCAGAAAATCCTAAAAAAATTTAACATTATTTTTTCATACACAGAATTTGAACTCTAGACCTTAATTAAGGAAAATCTCTTACACTCGATTCAGGCTTTGCTAGTTGATCTCCAACTTCGCAAAGCAAGATTGCTAGAGGTTCGCCGTTTTGTTCAGTTTATATCAGTTAGTTCTAGTTACAATATATATATATATATTACTACTGCACTGTTACTGTATTACCTAGTTTTTACATCTGAATCGGACATGCGTAACAAGAGTTTTGTGTAAATTAAAGTGAAACCCCAGGCAAGGCATTTAATTCCGACGCACACAGCCAGCATATGGAGAAAGCCATTAATTTGCCTTGAGACGATATCTTAAGCTAACAATATCCAAATAGGTAATATATACAAATACATGTGCATGGGCAGACAGCTGGACTAGAATTAAGAAGATATAAACGAAGATTATTTGCTGAAAGTAATTAAGGTGGTTTAATTTCACGAAGACAACATATTCTTATAATTAACGACGACACATATCATATTACTTCGCTTGTTCTTTCCCTTCTGTTTGTGCTGAATATGTGTGGAAATGAGGCAGCAGAGTTGGATGATTTCAGCCAATGCTCTTTCTCCATAACACTTCTGCTAATTCCACCTTTTTCTTTCGTGCAGCCCTGCATATATATACGCTAGTCATCATGTTATCATTTAAATATTCTATCCCATACATATGTACGTAGCTACGTACCTACGTACGTACGTACATACATGAAAACACACGCATTCATGGACGCTCTCATCAGAATATGCAAGTAAATGATGGAAAATATCTAATTAAGCTGACCCTTGTACATTAATATAAATATAATTATGCAGATCATACAATAAAAATCCATATTAGCCGTATTAATTATAAGTATGATTGAATATAATAATGAAGAGATACACGTATAATAGACACGCATGTAGATGCACCCACTAAACATCATCAATGTCTGGTGCAACTTGAGAATTCTGCAAGCGCATTTCCAGTTTCCAGAACTTCTCGTCATTGCAACTGAATCATATATGTGCGCGCGCGCAACTGGGTTCTCCATGTAGAGAAAATGATTTTCCATTTTCATTACAGCCTAATTAACGTTGTCTACTAAATCACACCTACCTGGACTTCTCCCTTAATTTTATATAATCATTTACCTCTTAATCGGCAGCTCTCTGCTGGGTTTTGTGTGTGTTTATAAGCATCATTATGCATTTGTGCGTAAACTACGCACCCCCAGCAGGCATATCACTGCAACTAGTTCTTAGTTTGGTTCCCCAACTAAATGATTTCCCGATTAATCAAAACTCCCAAAGTCATACTCCATATATATTACTGTTTCCCCTCATGTGTTCTGCCACAAATGAGAAAATGTGACTCTTGCGATTTTCACACGCTTTAATTAGCTGACATGCCAAGGGTTCTTGTCAACCATTTGAGCTAAAGATGCTCCTTTTTCACTCCAACAAGCTACTTGCAACGCGTTAATTGAGAAGATTAAGAGGCCAGGCTATCTAATAACTTAACAAATATATACATGCTATGTGAATTGACAACTTAATTAATATATTAATTGTATCTCTATATGTACGCACTTGTCTTAATAGAACTTTTATGAAGAGTCCTTTCAATGCCAAATAAAGCTATGAGCAATACTCTCTTCCTATCTCTAACTTCACCTTGAGGTATATATTTCAAGAGGTCCTCTTCCAATCAGCTTCGCTTAAATAAGTCGTTAATTACAAAAATTTGGAGTATTAATACTCATCAAAACCTATGGCATGCTATAGGCAAAGGACAAGACCGGGTTTACATGAAAGGGACACGGTTCAGCATACTACTCATTCAATCTAAGCTTCATGGCAACGGTGAAGAACTAGTATATGGGGGTGTCCGGGTAAAAACAAAATTACGGTTTTAAAAGTGTTTTTACAGTATGTGAAATAAACATGTAGAGGAGTTTGTCTCGATTTGCAGAAAAGTATTTCTAAGAAGTGCTTTTAGGGTTACCCAAACACTCCCTATAACGACAATAAATAATAAAATAATAATACATGAGACTAACCTCAATCTACATGAGTTAATTAAAAACATTCAACCAAAATTTAGATATTAAAAAGTGCCAGATTGCTCTTACTGGCGCCAGATCGCAAGTTTGATTTAATCCTGCATGAATGCTACCACTTCTAATTAAAAAAAATAGCAATGTGCGTGTTTGTGAAAATTACACTACCTAGCTATTATGTATAAATGCATTACCTAATACTACCACCCTATCCACAAAAAACCCAACACTATAATTTTTTTTTATTCCCAACAGAAACTAATTAAGTGAGACACACTTCCGAACTCCTAGTTTCCTTTTCTTGCTTTGGGACAACTTTTTATGAATAAATCGTCTGAAGGTCTACAAGTGTGTGTATTTATTTATTTTTATATACATAAAGAAAAAGGGCACAAGATTTTAGTTTAAAATTTAAATATAAACATGCGACTTTTTTTTGAATTTGCAAAGTATTTGTAGAGGTTAATCTATATAGAATTCAGGTTTCTATTTCTTGTAGCATTTCTGATTGGATTTTTAGTCAGTGTGTGTGGGGATGTATTTCCAGGGTCGCATGCATGCACGGCTTTCATTAAACAATGGAGGTTGTCAGCATTTAAGAACAAACTGAAATAATCTTCTGCAAATGCAGAAGATTACATTTATTCAAACTACTCCTCTAGTCCTATTTATAAGGTAAAGAGAGAAGGTTTTTCTTAGTCCTATTTATAAGTCACTTTATTAAATTTTTAGCATGAATGTATTATTTTGTCATTCATTTATTATAGTGTAAATAGTTATTTTTTGAAAGGTGTATATATTAAATGGGGGTAGAATTAAAAAGTTGTTATATTTTAATGAAGAGTTAATGTAGTTTAAGGTTTTTTTTTGTCTGTGTGAAACATGTTGGAAGTGTCTTATAAATAGGATCAGAGGAGTAAATAGTTGCAGCAAAATTGATTTCAAGTGACCTATAGAACAAACACAAAAGGACTTTTGCCAGATATTTAATATAATACGTAGCTAGATCAGCTAGTCCCGTTGGCATAAACTACACTACTAAATGATGAAAAGCCGGTTTTTATGTTTTGATTAAATGCAGAGAAGAACATATTCATTGAGAGATTTTCAAAGAAAAATGACAATATTTACAAGAGAAGAAGTGTACTTCCTCCATCCCTTTTTATAAGCAATATTAGAGCTCATCATATAGATTAAAATGTTAGTTAAAATTAGTTAAAGACAATAAATTTGTAAAAATTAAAAGTTCTTTATCTAAAATGCCCTTATTTATTGGGAGGAGAGAGTATAAGAGAGAGAATAAGAAAATTATTATAATAAAGAGAATTATGGAAGAGAGAGAATGTATGATGGAGAGATGATGGTTTGAGAAATGAGATAATAAATCTATTAAGTATCAAAATAAATAATTAATGAGGGCAAAATAGAAAATCCATTATATAAATTTAAGACAGTTTGCAAATGTTGCTTATATTTAGAGATAAGAAGGAGATGATAGTTGTTGCTTATAAAATGGGACAGAGAGAGTATACTATTAGAGGGGGGTGTGTGTATTAATGAAAACTCTCGGGCTTAATGTTTTAAAATGTTAAGACAATATGTGACATCAAACACACGTATATGTATCTCTCCAAAGTCTATTGGAGTAGAAGGCCTCCTTGTCTGTGATGCTCAATTGGCCCCAATCAACACACTTTCTTATACACAAAAAATGCAAACTGAAAGTTCAAATGCAGTATTACCATATATTTTCGACGCTGACATAACAAATTCAACAGGAAAAAATATATAACAAGGGTCTATCATTTTTCATAATAAGTGCGTAACAATCAACTCTTTAATGGACATAGATGTGCGTATTTGATATTTAACTTAATTACCTGGTCATTTACATACCCTTGTCTCCTACAAATGCATAAATACCCGATCGAATTTCACTGGCTAATATACAGGCTATTATCGATGCCTCTATTCAAGCATAAACTATATCGATCTTTTCTTAAGACATTCTAGTTAAATCTATGGAAATATGTATCTCCTAGCTATATCTACTTATAGCTACTAGTATACTATTTACTAATTCATCAACTGTGTATAGCTAGCCAGATTATGTGGCTTAGTTTATGAACACTGTTTCTTGGTGGACCGTGCTGTTTATGATATTTACGTTATGATTGATTTGACTTCCATCTATTTTTTGAGTTTATGCAAGACATGAGTACTAGTAAACATTTCTAGTTATCTTATAATTTGTTCGATTAGACAGATTTTCACATAACTTTATCCCGCTCCTTCCTTCTTCCTTCGCTTCCCATTAATGTATATTTTCTTCAGTATTTTGGAAAATTTTTTTTATAAATTCTTACCATATGGATCGTCCACGCAGTTTGCACATCCAATAAGCTTGCAAAGAGGACTCGTATATATACACTTTGGACAACAAGTGAGACAATCACATTAAATGACAAATTAACCAGACAAGCACCAAAAAAAAGTACATATGTGTGCTTGCTAGCTATAGACCACTGGCCTTCATCACATGCATCAGTTATAAAATGAAATATCTTACAAGTATGGCTAACATTGAACAACTAATTAAACCCAATTTCGAAGGTTCTTAAAAGAAAGTGAGAGGGGTAATATATAACAAGAAAGCTTTTTGCTACGCATCAGCATTTGGAGCTAGCTAGCTGGGACTGATATTCATATACACATTAATCACTTATATGGAAAATGAATTCGAGTATATATATTTATGTTCCTACGTCAATATGTGTATGTAATTACATGCAACGTAATGACATGTGAAGGGCCACAAAAGAAATGGGGAGCACAAATATCCAGCAGAATCAAGAAAAAGGCCCAAATTAAGTATAAAGTAAACACCCCGAGGAGTATTTAATTAGGAAACTGCAAAAACAGTGATTTGAATGATAGGAGAGAGAAAATGACCATGGGATCAGACTATTCTTAATTGCTTCTAGCCTAATCACCAGTCCTGTAAAATGTTGTTCAGGCAAAACGATCCATCTCTCCATAGTTTTACTATATGCAAAATTAGGGTTTTTACCCCTCGTTCTAGGGTTTTGTACGTACACTACAGTACAAATGTAATCCGCATCTATACCCTTCAAATTTCCCAGGTGTCTGGTCTCTGTTCATCCTCTTATTTTGGGTTCTTTTAAAGCAAAATCTTTCGTTTATCTATGCGAAGCAGATCATATATATGAAGAAGCTTATATATATATATAGATATATATACCTGACACGAAAGCTGAGGCAAGGTTACGTTCTCTCAAGAAGCCATTTGCTTTAGAGTCTTGGCTGTCTGATGAGGTCCCTTAATTGGGGTTCTCTTCTTCTTCTTCTTCTTATACAGAATTCCTCTGGCCTTTGCCTGACACTCTTTCACTTCACGCAGATACACCCTGATAGCTCCACTTCCGAATGGATTATTCTCCGGTGAGCCGCCGTGCTCTTCGAAGGCAGCTCGCAGACGTCCGATGAGGGCATCCAGGCTGCCCCAGGCCTGCCTGAGGGGACAGGTGCAAGGGGCAGGCGGGTCGGGTTGGCCGAAAAACACGCAACCTTGTAAGTGGACCTTAGTCTTCCCGAACTGATCGAGGTAGCGCAGAAAATCTAGGACGTGGTTGTAGTTACAGTGAGCGAGAGAAACCGGAGGTGACTGATTCTTCAGATACTGGCCGAAAGTGTTCCAGTCTCGCCGCTTCTGTGACTCGTATCGGCTCAGCGGCGTCTGCTGTTTCTCAGGCTGATCACCGACAGCAGCTGGCCTCACCGACGAGGTGCCTTGGCCGGAATTACTCTGAAATTCGCCGGACATGGTAGCCATATAGCTATATTGCAGGGAGGAGGGAATTGAATTGTATGGATGGCTGGAGATATTAATTTAGTGGGTTTGGGGGAATAATAGAAATGTCAATTTGGGGGAGAAAGGAAGGTGAAAGAATGTGGTTAGTGCAGTGAAGAAAGATGAAAAGCACGTCTTCTTTGAGAGGACATGTCATGGGCCCCCTACGAAGCTGCTTTTCCTCCCCTTTTATTCTCTCTCGTATTTAAATTTCCTTCTCTTCTCACCTATTTGCACCAAGGTTGCATTTTTTTTAAAGCATTCTTTTTACTAATACACAAATGATAACACTTTTAAGTGTTTAGTTATTAATTTTACACATATATAGAGTAGAGTCTTGAAGAAAAAACTGGGACATAAAGGTAAATTCATTTTCTTATATTATAAGGATGTTGGGCATCATCAATGATACAATGATTGTTACTTTCACAATCGGCATTATGGTCTCACACACTTGGTACGATTAGGAGTAGTAATGTATTTGTTGGTTTTTTGAATTTGTCTCAAAGTTGAGGGGAAACCAATTAGATGAGTCATTAGTCGGTGCTTACTGCTTTAAGTCGAAGGCTAACTTGATTAGGGAGTTTCATCATTGACATCTAACCATTGATTAGCCTCCGTATTGTTCCACTGATTTTCTTAATTAGATATACATCGTTATCACGGAGAGGTGACCTCATAATTATATCAATAAAATATATCATATATTTACATACGCCCATCAAATCAGGAGTCTTTTAATCTAAAATTGGTTTATCTTTTCTTTTGGCAAATCATGGCCAACCATTTTCATCCCTAGGGGAAAGGATGTATAATGGCCCACCGAACGAAATTAATATTTTTGACAAATGTGTTTTATTATGGGAGAATTCCTTTGAAATTTTCTATTGGAACATTTATTGTTCAAAAGTACCTGCAATTTTTAATTGTCTTTCGTTTTGCCTTTGAAATAGGACGTATGCAATTTTTCTTCAGTTATTTGCTCAGCCTATCTTTATGTAAAAGTCTTGAAAAAAAAAAAAAGCTGAAAATACGTTGCATATGACTTAAAAAAAGAGCAACCCACTCAAGGACATGGGTCCCAAACCAAATTTCAGGTACTGTGGGCAATAAAATTGTTGATGAAAAATTTTTAGGCAATTTTTTCTATTAGTGTTTTAACTATTAGTGAAGGTATTGAAGAACAATTTTTTTAAAAAAAAAAAAGTTATCTAGATGTAATAGAAAGTAGTGGGAGAGCTTCCACGCAAATGAACTTTAGTGATGAAAAAAGATTAAGGGTGAGCATTATTTTGGGAGGTTCCTTGTATGGAAGGTTTAATTTGGTAGCTAGCTATAGTCTTTAAGGCTGTTTTCAAAGTTTGCTGGGAAGAGTAAAAAACGTATGGGGTTGGCAGATAAAAACTTTGAATGCTGTTTGTGAGTTTTAAGCTCTAAATGTCAGGTTTGAGAGAGTACATTGTCCACTGGAAAACGACTTCTGCCTTATAATATTATCGTCCCCCCTCACTCCATTTGAACCCATGCACAGCTGTGGGGTTATCTTTTTCAAATCAAATCACACATATATGCACAGGCACTACAATTCCCTTATGAAAGTTATTATTATTATTATTATTATTTCTTTAATTAATTTTCCCCTCTTTGGGATATTTAGCACTGTAAAAACTGATGAACATCGATTTCCCTACCTCCCTCTGTGTAATAGATAAGGCATCATAAGCATTTGAAAATTAGCCTTTGAACAGAAGTTTTCCCCATCATGACTTGCCTTAATTTTCGTCTCTAACATTTTTGCCTCTAATAGGTTGTCATTTTTAATTTTAGAGGATGGTGCATCTGACCCACAGGTTCATTAGTCTCAATGTAATAATAAAATCTCCCTTTCCTCTATACTATATATTCGTGTTAAGTATCTAATATTAGAGTCGCATCAATTCCGAAAACTTTATAACTTTACTGAAGTTAAGAACGTTCCATAAAATTTCAAAATTTTCCTCAATATAAATCATTAGCTGGGGGAATGATATAATTGGTCCATTAGCTAGGAAGTTTTATGATTAGTTAAGAATGCCAGATGGAAAAAAATTAATAATTTAAACAAAACATTCTGTATCATAAAAGATGTAGGAGATTTTTATAATAACAAGAAGAGTGAAAAAAAAAATCAAGTTTCTACATTTAAAATAAAAACAAACTCACCAGATCCTACATTTAGAATTGGAAAAAGTATTTAGTACGTATAAATAGACTTTTTTTTCCTTCTTCATCACCCCACCAAAAAAATATCCATATGCATCAACCGTCACATACAAACACAAATAAATTAAATGGTCTTGTGTAAATGTATTATTAAGATGTTATCCTGAAAATTAATTCCTATGTAAGAAAACCAGAAAAGAAATTGAGGAAACCGGTAGAAAGGTTTGGGCACAGTTTCATTTTAACGCATATTACAATAATAATTAACAGCAAGAAATGGTAACACTACTCTTTTCCTTTGGCTTTGCGTATGGCACTTTGGAATCGCAACTTCAGCTTCAATTTTCTGATGACAATGCTCCTTTTATCTTTAATATAATACTACCTTTTGCCCTTAATATAGGAGCATATTTGACTTTTATTTTGGTTTTAAATATAAAACCCCAATCCACTTTGTCTCTTATATGTATTCATTTTTTTCAAGGTAATCTTTATAATAATAATAATTCTAACCAATATGCTTAATTAGCAAGAATAATTTAGAAAAGATGATATCTATTTATTATAAATAATTAACATAACTAATTTTTTTAATTTATTCAAATTAGTCAACTAGCTTTTATATATTAAAAACTGGGGATAGTAACTATTTAACTAATTTGAATAGATTAAAAATTAATTAAATTATTTAATAATTTTAACAAATGTGATATAATAATCTAAAACATCTCTTTGCCTCATTAGACCATATACAAGTTTATGTGATAAATAAATTAATTTAGAAAAAATGATAGATAGGATATGTAAAATGGATTAATATTTTACATTTAGGATAAAAACTAGGCTCATACATTTAAAACTTAGAAGAGAAGTAATGTTTTCTCCACAAGAAAATAATTCATTTCAAGTCAATTTCTAACGTCTCCAGAAATGATTAAAAAAACACATTAAATGTTAAAATAAATTCAAAAATTATTAAATAAGAGTAGAGGCACAGGTAGTAGACGTTTAGTCCGCCATCACGCTTGGATTCACAGAGAATCTGATGCGAGACAGTTAGCGAGCGGTGAAGAAGATAAAAACAAGGGCAAAATAGTCATAGAAAACAAATAATCGGAGTGGTGTTCTAGTACATTGTGAACTTTTTTTTATAAATTAGGGGTAAGATAATACGGTAATCAAGCACAGGCAAGGGTCAATTGGTTCAGTACAATATTGCCCCTAGAGAAGCTAACCCCCGGCCACTTTATATCCAGCCAATTAAATTTCCTAGTACGTACTCGATCTGATCGAGGACAAGTTCCAAGCTATATAATATTGCAAATTAAATAAAAGAAACACAATAATACCTGATATTACAAACGATTCATCTATACCCAATTAATAAATATTCCTATGGCTGCTGTCCTGTGAAGCATTTTAATTTGGCCCAGATTCAAATGAAACGTGGAGTCCTCAAGTTTGTTGAATCGTGACTCTAACAAACCTTAATCTTGAGACGCATTTATACGTTGTCAAAAGTTGGTGCTTGTCAATAAGGGGAAGGTAAGACGCCACGTACTCACCATGTCTTGGCTCGAATCCTGAAAAGTCCCTACCTGGGAGTGACTCCGGATTAGTCTGCATCCTTTGAATGTGGAATACCGGAGGGAAAAATCTAAAAAAAAAAAGTTGGTGCTTGTCAATAATGGAAATTGAGTCTAGCAAAGCTAATCTCCCGTAATATAACAAATCAATATTTGAATTTTTGTCAGAAAGATACCTGATTGTACCTAAAACGTGATTTTTTTTAATTAGAAAGACACATGTGCTTAATGAAAAAAAGGTTGGTATTTGTCTTTCATTCACTCACAAACATACATCTGGCTAGTAAAATACAAGAGTGAGGATGTTATATATATAAAAAATTAACATTGGAATCAAACTATGTAGGATTAAAGAAATTATACAAGAGATGGAATTAGTTTATAAAAGATATATATATAATCTCTTGTCCTAATTATAAGACCTCATTTATAGTAATTATGTAAGAGATGAAATTAGCTTATAAAAAATATATATGTACTGCCTTCGGTCCTAATTATAAGAGCGAAGGTAACATATGAAAGAGTCAAAGATCAGTTAGTGTTAGGAGGGAGAGGAAGTGAGATATACATATATATATATATATATATATATTGGGGTCCATGAGGTTCCCCTACACAGGTGTCCCGATAAGGCATTATGGTGTTGGTTGAAGTTTGGACACAAGCTTTCACATAGTCTTGTCTAGCTCCTTTGTTGATATGTATATTGGCCTACCCTGTGGAATAAATGTACTTTCCGACGAGCAAAGCCGCCCAAAAATAGTAAAATTTTTCTGGATTTCATCGATTCAATTCAAAGATCCTCCATTTCTCTTCATTCATTGCCTCATCGTTTCCCTGCATTTCTCCATCATTGGCCAGATCCGATCTCACGCGCACCCAACATTATTCCCTGCAAAAAGCTAAAGCAACACCTGAAAAAGCTCATATATACATACATTCACACACAACCACATAATTACATTAGCCACGGTTCCTATATAGGGTTAATTACACACCCACACGCGTTTCATTCACTCTGCAATTGAACAGCTCCAATAAAGTCAAGGTCTTGTCTCTGAAAAGCATTGGTTACTAATGCGATTACACGTTTGTTTACATTAAATTAACCAACTTCTATTTTTGTAAGTTATGTGAATTATATTAATGCCTCAAGTCTTAATTATAAGATCTCGTTTGTAGACTATAAATAAGGTTTTATAATTAAGACTGAATGTAGTATAACATTAGCATTAGCAAAAAAGTCAACATGTTCAAACATACGAAACTTCAATAAACCTTATCCTTGTATTTTTATATCATTTATTTGGCAGATATAATAAGTTTTA